GATTTTGGTCATTTAAGCATCAGGGCAGCAGACCCCGACGGACCCGGTTCCTCTGGGCTGAGGTGGTCTGAGTCCACAATTCAGACGATTTTAGGAGGTTAAAAATGTCCTCGTGGTCGTTCTTAAGCCTCCCTCTTCCGGTTTTCCGGGTTATACTCCTTAAACGCCATCGGCCGTCTCCTTTTTGCCTCACAAACGCAGAATAGGCAGGAAACGGCGGCTTTGAGGGGAACCAGAAAGCAGAGAGCACAAACGGTGACAAACCGAAACTTCCGAGTCTTCCATCACATCCGGACAAAGCACCCGGAATGTCAACAGGGGGAAATCCTGCCTCCCTTTGGGACGACCGGTTTCCTGGTCCGTAAACATCCCATAGCCTCTAAAACCCCCGAGAAGAGCTCCGATAGCTCCCCTCCGACCCCCTAAAGCCACGAGCCGTTATCCTGTTACGACGGGAAGTTCAATGGAATCGGGAAATCTGGGGATCATAATAATAAAGGACCCGTGTGGAGGAACGATCCACCTCAGGTGCTCAATACGTCGATTGCGATCTACCAGTTGATCTCCAAGGTACTATCGTATCGTATCGGTAGATCGCATGAAAAGGTGAGGTGACATCGTCATGAACTGACGCTATACAAATAAAGTTGAGTTGTTTTGAATAAAAACTAGACGTCAGCCTATCAGACATCCCATCACTTGATTGATACACAGGACAACCAGTCAGATGACATCTGATTTTTTTCCGTACAATTAGATCACTGTGCGCAGCAAAGCTAACAAGCTAGTCGGTAGTTACATCCTAATTTTTCGCTCGTTTTTTCCTCTTAAACGTAAGACAGGTTATGAAAATGAGTGGGGGAGCTGGACCAAGTAAGAAGAAAAACACGTATCACTTTCATACGGAATGGGAGCAGGACTTTTTTTTCACGATGACATTTTCAAAGTACGCTTGTCTCGTCTGCCAGTCTACCGGCGCAATATGAGGTTATACATCAATATGTGGTTATACATCAATATGTGGTTATACAGTGGGGGAAATAAGTATTTGACCCCTTGCTGATTTAGCAGGTTTGCCCACTTACAAAGAATGCTTATTTTTCCTCATCAGATGGTTATCAATTTTCATAAATTCATATGATGTGATTTTCTGGAATTTTCTTTGGGATTCTGTCTTTCACTGTTAGAATGTACATATGATTAAAGTCATAGATCGTTGCATTCTTTGTAAGTGGGCAAACCTGCAAAATCAGCAAGGGGTCAAACACTTATTTCCCCCACTGTACATCAATATGTGGTTATACATCAATATGAGGTTATACATCAACATAAATTGTAAGAATCCTCAATATATGTCTCAATAAATATAATGGGCAGATCATTTTGACTTTCAAAAGTATCTGTAGTGGATAGAATGGGTTTCTGCATGCCATAGTGACGACGTGCACTAATTGGTCATGTGGTGTTTGAAATATCACCTGTTCACTCGCAAGGTGACAGTTTAGTAGTGAGTGGGTGATAGGGGAAGCCTACTTTTTATTGACCGCTTTACACTTTACGCTGTACGCCTCATGCTTTTACATATAATCTAATTAAGTTTGCTGAGAACGTTTACCTCTGGATTACCGCTTGTGGATTATGGATGCCTATGAACTGATTCAGTTTTAATGTTGGAAACCTGAAGATTAAATAAAGCGATAACACGAAGCCTTCGGACTGGCGTTTTGAACATCTAGCGCGTCTGGCCCGTTAGTTTCCCCTAATCAGCTGCTCGGCGACCTAAAAGTTTGTTGATCAGTCGCCAATAGTAGCTCCCCTGCTGAAACAGTGTGATTGTGGGGCTCTGGGTTGGGGAGGAGGACTCACCAGCAGCATGGCCTGTTCGTGGAGCAGCTGCTGCTGCAGGATCTCCAGGTGCCTCTGCTCCTCCTCCAGCTGCCGCCGGATATACTCCTGCCAATCACACACCAGAATCAGTTAGCACTGTTTTAAATCAAATATAGGTGTGGGCAGGCCCCGGGATCTGAGTCAGATTCAGAGGTTTCTGCCTTTTCATTGGAAACAATCAGCCCTGGACTGTAGATTAATGTATATTTAGTTATTATTGGGTTAGATAACAGTGGAAAATCAACAAAAATCACTAAGGAACAAAGTCAAAATCTGAGATTTGACTCAGATTCACATTTTGGAGCCCTGAGGTGGTCAGGGTTAGGGTTATTCAAAATCAGAGATTTTTGCCTTTTTCTACAAAACAATCAGCCTAACCCTGTAGATGAGGGTATATGCATTAGTTATTGGGTGAGAAAACTGTGGAAAATCCCCGAAAAACACTTTGAATTTGATTATTTGAGATTAAGATCTCATAGGAACAAAGTTAGAATCTCCGATTTGACTAAGAGTCAGAGATTTTTGCCTTTTTATACAAAACAGTCAGCTCTGGACTGTAGATTAGGGTAAGTTTTATTCATTATTGGGTCTGACAGATAACAGTGGAAAATCACCAAAAAACACTTTGAATTTGATTATTTTAGATGACGATCTCATAGGAACAAAGTCAGAATCTCAGATTTGACTCAGATTCTGAGATATTTGCCTTTTTATACGAAACAATCAGCCCTTGACTAGGAATGAGGGTATATATTTAGTCGTTATTGGGTGAGATAACAGTGGAAAATCCCTGAAAAACACTTTGAATTTGATTATCTGAAACGACGATCTCATAGGAACAAAGTCAAAATCTCAGATTTGACTCAGATTTCTGCCTTTTTATACAAAACAATCAGCCCTGGACTAGGGATGAGGGTATATATTTAGTCGTTATTGGGTTGGATTTGCAGAGATCTGCTTTCGTGCTTTAAATGATCTGAGTGGTAAACGTTTCCATCTCACATTGTTTTCTGATTGTGGGCCGAAACTTCTTCCTTTTTTGGCTCCAACCAAGTGGCCCCCCCCGTCCCCGTTTCAGGGTTTTCCAGAGATTTATTAGTTATTTCGTGAGATAACGGTGGAAAATTCCCGAAAAACACTTTGAATTTGATTATTTGAGATGACGATCTCATTGGAACAAAGTCAAAATCTGTTTTTGTGTTTTAAATGATCTACGTGGGAAATGTTTCCATAGTTTTCTGATTGTGGGCCGATACTTCTTCCTGTTTTGGTTCCAACCAAGTGGCCCCCGGTCCCCGTTTTGGGGGTTTTCGGCCCAGAAACCGGAGCCCCGCGGCCTCTTTTCCGGGGCCTTTTTCCCCTCTTTTTCCCCTCTTCCTCCCCTCCTCTTCACCTGTTCCCGGTCGGCCCTCCTCTTCTCCTCCTCGGCCCGCCGGCGCTCCTCCTCCTCCTTGCGGCGGCGCTCCAGCTCCTCCAGCCGCCGTTTCTCCTCCTGCTCCCGCCGCCGCTGCTCACGCTCCTGCTGCCGCCGCAGCTCCCGCTCGCGCCGCTGTTGCTATAGCAACGGGACAGGAAACGGAAAGAGTCAGGAGGAGGAGGAATCAGGAGAGCCGAAATCATCCGTCAGACGGCGGGAAAACCGGATTATGACCCCGTAGGTAAGAAGATTTCCTTTCATTTCGAAAGTTTATTTCAAACCTACACACACTTTACAATACATACAGTGGGGGAAATAAGTATTTGACCCCTTGCTGATTTTGCAG